GTTTACAGGACGGTGGTGAGACCAGCCATGATGTATGGTTTAGAGACAGTAGCAATAGGCAGAAGACAGGAGGCGGAGCTGGAGATGGCAGAGTTAAAGATGCTAAGATTCTCTTTAGGAGTGACAAGAATGGACAGGATCAGGAATGAGGTCATTAGAGGGACAACACAGACAGGAAGGTTTGGAGAAAAAGCTAGAGAAGCCAGATTGAGATGGTTTGGACATGTGCAGAGGAGGTACAGTGGATACATTGGTAGAAGAATGTTAGAGATGGAGCTACCAGGTAGGAGAAAAAGAAGAAGGCCAAAGAGGAGATATATCGATGCAGTGAGGGAGGACATGCAGATAGTTGGAGTCAGAGTAGAAGATGCAGAGAACAGGGAGAGATGGAAAACAATGATTCGCTGTGGCAACCCCTGAAAAAGGGACAAAGCCGAAAGAAAAAGAAGAATACAGTTGGTGCATCATTGAGTTGACTTTCTAGTGTGTCGCTGGCACTAAAAGATGAATTCACATTTTATTTTATTTTATTTTATTTTATTTTATTTTATTTTATTTTATTTTATTTTATTTTATTTTATTTTATTTTATTTTATACAAATGATTTCAGCAGAAACTAACACAGCAGCAGCTATTAAAGTGTCAGTCAGCAGGCTATGTATATATACTGTATATATGTGCGTGTGGTGCGTGTGGTGTCGTGCTAATCTTGCTGCCATAATTGGTAAATATAACACATTGTACACAAATGTTACACAGGAAATAAAAATGTGGAAAATAAAATAAATAATAATAAATATAATAAAAATAAAATTGTACACCATAAAAATATTACACAGACACAAGTGTGTACAAATACAGTTGTTCCACTGATACACATGTTGTTGATGATGATGATGATGATGCTCACTCCGACTCTTCTCTCTCAAAGATCTCCCAACATCTCGACAGTCAGCAGTTCAGACATCTGCAGCCAGAACACGACCTCGTCCGAGCCCTGGATCATCCAGTACCGTCCCTCCACTATCTCCCTTTTCAAGAAAAAACTAAAGAACCACCAGGGAGACCTCAGCCCCCTGGTGGGCAACTAGCATCATTACAACATCCTTCCACACACCAAATGCCACGGTCACCCACAACTTTTCTGTACAAGGCCAAGTGGTACAGGGGCTTTCAGGTGCCAGGCCCTAAGACGATAAAACTCTATCACCGAGGCACCAAGCTTAAAAAGCCAACAGCAATGTGGCTCAAGATAAGGACTGAGTGACTGCTACTTAAAGGCCCATGGACAAAAAAGGGCCGAGCTCTGCCCTTGACACAGGCAGAGAGGAGCTGCGAGTGGCAAAGAGTGTGGGATAAAACATGTGACAAATGAAAAAATTTGCAGCTCTTACAAAGACACGAGACGGCCTCAAAGATGCAGACGACGTCCGCTGCTCACTGAGGCCGCACTTCAGTCGTCCCTAACAATCAGCACACCGCAGTCAGACTGCAGGAGTAGGAGGAAGGGAAAAAAAAAACGAGCTTCATCACCTGTGTCCTGCTGTGTCAGAGTCATCACCAGGCTGAAGGACGAGATAAAGATACAGAGAGACGAAGATGTTTTACACTGTGCTGAAACTTTTTTTTTTACAGCCTCAGTCATCCCATACACACATACACACACACAGATGTTCACTGATGTCTTCCTGACTCCCTGACGTTTGAAAAAGTGCTGCCGTTATTTTTGTTGTGCTTTTCCGAGGAGAGTCCACGGGACATGGAAAAGTCTTAGAGAAATTAAACATCGCAGCACTTTGGAATCAAATCACCCACCGTAAAATAAAAAAAGATCAGAGAGACAGAGATTGCGCCTGCCTACACTTTTGCTGGGTACTTATGTGGATTTGGGTGGAGAGATGGAGCTTGGCGAGGGGAGGGGGGGCAGCAGTTTGCAGACTAACTGCCATTTAGGGAGACTAGGGAAGATCTGAGGACTCCCCTCGGCTCGTTTGTGGGTGGGAGACTTTTCTGGTTTGATGGTGTTCAAGTGCCTTATGGATCCACCTCTTCCCTCATCTCAGATTCCTCACATCTGTTTCTTTCATGAAGTAGACTGAGGTCCTTCACAAATCTCTGCACTTGTTTAAAAAAAAAGTGCATGTAAACAGTCTGAATCCAAACTGGGAGTTCTGCCACTTCAACACAAGAAGGAACATGAACGGTGCCATATCTTGTACAGTGATATAAAGCGTTGAACCTTTAGACTTTTGAACCATAGTACACTCAACCAAACACCTCTCCAAACTGGACTGTTAACATTTTTGATTAATGATGATTTTTGTTTTTTTTTTAAAGTGAAAAATCTTTTTTTTCACATTATGTAGTAACAAAGGCTTTGAGAGAAAATATTTGTTTCTAAACAAAAAGAGTCTATGCTCTTATGTGTAGTGTTGAACATTTACTGAACATATTGTTCACTTTTTTTATATTTTCTTTTTAATTCACGGGAGGTGGTATTGTTGTACATTATGTAATTCATCATGGGGGAATGATGATATTTATGTCTGTTTTTTTCATTCATTCTGCGTCTACATCAGACCAACCCAACCCCCCCACCCTCGGCCCCCCAGAGTACTTTTTATCGTCTCTTTAAACAACAGCACATAAACGGTCTAAAATCACAGGATGTCCCACGTCCTAAATCCTGGACTCTTCACCTTGACTCCAACAGTGCACCCAGACACAAACACAACCAAAACCACTCATCATCGGTACTATGCACAAGCAGTTTCTTGTTTTTTTTTTGTTTTTTTTTTGTGAGACATTTAAAGTACTTACGAAAGGTCAGCATCTACCAGTGAGTCATTGGTAGAGTAACTGACGTTTTCTAATCAGGAACTGGATGTCAGTCTGGACTCCCCCAAAAAATGTAATTAAAGAACAAACAGAAATGAATGCACTTAAAAATGATGTATTTTAATCTGTTTGTCTTCCTCACTCCAGCACTTGACACCAAAATAAAAAAAAAATACATATAATAATTTCACACTCAAAACAGCAGCAGAGTTAAATTTATAAACACTCCTTAAAAACCAGATGATTTTTAAGTCCGTGTCCGTGTTTAAGTACGAGAATATAGCTTTTGTTTGTCAACACGGAGCATGTGGCGCTCTCTTCCTGTTCTAATAATAATAATACAGTTTAAATATCCTGTTTTATTCCACAGCCAACAGGAACAGGTTCTACTTACGTTTGTAAATATTGATTTCCCATTGGACGACAAATGCACCTCGTGACAGACGCGTTAATCACTGCTTACTTAGCAAGATATGCTAATGTAAAGCTAACTTGTCGTAGCTCTTGGCTGTTTGAAAACAGGAAAGCTAGCGGTAGAGGCTTCAGAGTTCCAACAGTGCTGAGACCAAACCCTTACTACAGCGAGGATACATATTAAAACCACAAACTACGAATTAAAAAAACAAAACAACAACAACATATACTTTAGCCTTATGTCTCTGTATTAAGGAGACGAAAACTCAATTTCTGTCTTAAACGTACACCTTTGAGATGTTATACTGCCACCTTGTGTGTCAACTCATAAACATTTTCCCCTACCTGTAAAAACACTTGCACTTCAGGAAAGGAGGAAGAAAATACAGTAAAAGATTTAGTTTATAGGCCGATTCCAGAATATTGTACATATAAACCCACAGAAATAAAGTGAAAAAAATTCAAACAAAGTAATAAAGGAAAAATAAATAAAACCTGACAACAGTGAAAGTGGAGTTTTGTTTATTTTTAGATTCAAAGAGTCACAGAAAACCCCACCATACACTCCTAGCTGAATGGATTACTTTATTCGGAGTGTTTGTGTTGGAAGATTTATCCCAGAAACCAATGTCTGTTTGTATTTGTTTTTTAATGCAGTGTTGCTCAGGTCTGTCTGCCTGCTCAACTGGAACTGATGACGTGCCTCTGGGCATGTGATGTTCAAAGCAGACGGAGCGTGGGGGGTGGTGGTGGAGGGGCGAGGACAGAGTATGCTGTGCATTGGGAAATTAATGTCCCCTCAAATCCAACACATGCTAACCAAATGTGACAGTTTTTGTGGTGTGATAAATTATGCAAACACCTATTTGCTGCTCCGTGCTCTTGTCATCTATAATATACCACACTATCTGCTGAGTGACGGGCGCTTTCCCCCAAATAAAAGTCCATCTAAACGTTCTACCTTTGTGTCACAGTCACCGCAGCTACCATTAGAAAAGAACAAGGACAGTCAAGCCGGACATCGTTTTCATAAAATTGTAAATAGTCGGGCTCACCACACACAGTCTGGGCTCTGGGACCCAACTCCTTGAGAGAGGCTGGACTCTCCTACTCTGGAGTTACTCGCGGTGAGAGGCGGCGTGCTGGCGTAGGCTTACTTATAGCTCCCCACCTTGCCAGTCGTGTGTTGGAGTTCTCCCCACTAAGCGAGAGGGTCGCTTCCCTGCACCTTCGGGTCAGGGATAGGTGTCTCACTGTTGTTTCGGCCTACGGGCCGAATAGCAGTGTAAAATACCCGGCCTTCTTGCAGGCACTGGGAGGGGTACTGGGCAGTGCTCCTCCTGGGGATTCCATTGGGGGACTTCAACGCTCACGTGGGCAGCGACAGTGACACCTAGAGGGGCGTGATTGGGAAGAACGGCCTCCCCGATCTAAATCCGAGTGGTGTTTTGTTATTGGACTTCTGTGCTAGTCACAGTTTGTCCATAACAAACACCATGTTCAAGCATAA